AAATAACATCACAGTCTCAATGATGAGCCTCAGTAGACTTGGCAAGTGGCTGACGATCCTACTTTGGCTCGTCAAGGACAAGCCAGCTCCCAAAGCATGTGCAGGAAAGGGACTTTTGGCTGGTGATTTTATTAGCTCTGAACAAACCAGCTAGTGTTAGGAGGCACTTTCCTTTCCTGTCTGATACCCAGCCTTACCTAGCGTATCAGTTACATGGTACAGAGAATCTTCTAACATGCAAGGCAGTGAATATGTAGTGATTCACTTTTCAGGGCTAAATTAAGTGCCTACTTGAAAGCATTAAATTAATTAACTTTTCCTCATTTAAAACGTTTGCAGAATTACTAGGGTATTCTTAGCTTCTACTTTCAGACCCAGAAAAAGGTGTAATTAGTGAGTAACATATGCCTGTAGAAGGCCACAGAATAAGGTTTGGTATAGCTTACATTTTGTACCTGTGGGCAAAACAAGAATCTCAGCTGGTACTTCAGGTTTTATCTTAATTAATATCTCATATACAGGTCTCACCTTAAAATCAATTCCATTGCAACTGATTCAATTATTTATTTGTAACATTTTGCTACGATAGCCTCTGAGGCACTCTTCTTGCTGTTATGTGGAATCATATAATCAATAATTATCATTACACTGGTATTATTTATACTTGTACAAATATTTATAATACTACTTTTCACTACCATTGCATGCAGGAGACTTAGTGATGAAGCTAGTACTAGATATTTCATAAAATGCTTGAAATAGGTTTCTTTGATCTACCACTCATGTTGCTGGTAAGACAACTACACTAACCTAAATTAGTTATTTCCTTTTCTCCATTGATAATTAGCACTAGAGGGGATGGGTATGAGTTACCTATTATCTCCAATTGCTATGTTTAGCAGTGCATCCAGAAAAAATACATTATCCGTCACAGTAAAAACCTGCTTCTTTTCTTGTGTTTATTTTAAGAACTTATCAGGGAAAGGAAACTTCCAACTGTGTCAAACTATCACACCATACTTTGTTCTAGCTGATGTTTGTTTATGTTGTATGTTGGGCCAGTACCTGCATTACTCTTTGACAGTGTTAATTTCTTCTTACTAGAAAGAGCACAAAAGAATTTGCCATGATTATCTTGGACTATCAGAGGAGAATCTGTGTTTATAAAAACAGTTTTAGCATTCCCGTTTGCAAATTCTGCTGTGCTGTAGTACGTTGGCTTCAATGGATTTTTATCTTAGCAAAAACTTTGCAAGAAAGGAAAAAACTCTATTTGCTATCTTCACGAGTAAATTATATATATCAAAAACCTAGCTTTGTATTTTAGTAGTAATGGACAAAATCCAAAAAGTAGCTACGCAAATCGTAAAAACAATATATTCATATATTCTAATAAAAAAACAACAAATGGTCTGATAGCACTTTATAGACTAACTAAACATGTAGATGGTATCATGAGCTTTCGTGGGCACAGCCCACATGATACCATCTACATGTTTAGTTAGTCTATAAAGTGCTATCAGACCATTTGTTGTTTTTTTCTGTAACAGACTAACTAATCTATTCCCTGAAGCTCTTGAACATGCAAGGTAATATATTCTAGTGATTGTGTTTTGTTTATACAGACATTTTACCTTTTAAAATAAGAAAAACATCTAAATACATGCGCGCACGTGCAAAATATCCAAGACTACACCTCAGAATGAATGAAATACAACATATCTGGTTAAATATCTGCTTAGAGACAATATGGACAACCTTGCTGATTCCCACCTCCTGTGCCTCAGGTGGTAAGTGATTTTTACTATTTTAAGTAAGATTTTAAGTAAGTGATTTTTACTTAAGGTACATAGGTCCTGATGAGAAAGGCCAGACCTATTGAGTCCAGTAACATCTATAGGCACCGCACAGACATAGCAGGGTCAAAGCCCCTGTCATTCCAACCTCCATACAACACACCTGTACACACTACATTTAATAGAATTAAAAGTGAGTAATGAGTACTACGTTTTCCATATAAAGTGACACTGCTTATTATACCAACATAATTGACAGTGGGACACTTGTATAGGAAAAAAAAACCCAATCAATTAATAGAAAAAAAGATTTCATTATAAATAATATTATTACAATACATTCAGCATAAGAATAATTTACCGCATGTAGTTAGTGCTATCAAAAATAGACAGCATTTAATCTGCTTGGAGGGAAACAACGTCTTTGTATACAATAGCATACGCTGGCATGTTGTACTTTGAAAATTTTTGAGTATTCACTCATTCTTCCATGTGTACATATTATGTAATGTAGCAAATGAGCCCTAAGTATTGAGGGTTAAAATGCTCATCTACAAAAGTACTAGGTAGATCACTTTTATATAAGCTTGGTTCTGCTCTGAAAAGTGTCTATATACGAATATCATATTCTTAGCCAATAGATCTGCTCCTTATATTCAGTCATTTATGCTCGCATTAGTGAGAAAAGTCTGTTTTTACAGCATGTCACTCCTCTTTAAAACTACTGAACCACAATAACTAAGTGAAAATGAGCTGGATTCTGTACCTTCTTCTTCATCGCCAAACAAAATGGTTCCTGTGCTCCAGTCAGTTATATCTTGAAGGCAATTCAAGCCGCACAAGTGTAACTGAGGAGTTTGTAAAGGTGGAACTGAAGTCCTAATTTGGCCTCTAAAAGCTTTATTGCTGGTTACTGAAGCACTAATATGAAATAAGTCATCACAGACCCCATGTTGAGTTGACAAGGCTAGCAGCTCAGTATTTGTAAAATGAGCATATTTGATTGGTACATTTTTGGTGGCTAAACATGGAATTCCACAATGTCATTTTTGCGATCAATTTTCAGAGTTGAATCATATTCAAGACTTCCATTTCTACTAAGCCTTTAAATCTTTTGAACCCTTTAGAATCCTCTGTGACCATTTTGGAAATTGTAGATACAAGGTACTTGTTGTGTACCTGACCTTCAGACCATTTACATATGGGTTCAAAGGTCTAGTGCAGCAACTAAGTATAAGATGGGGTAACATGAGGGGGGAAAACTATGAAAGAGTTCTCTGAATCTACAGAAAGACTTTGTGACTGTGCATTGCATTGGGAAGGGAAGGAAATTACTGGGCCAAATTCTGTTCTTTTAATAAAGTAAATTTCTTAACTTTTTTCAGGTTACTACGGTGTAAAACTAACCTAACTGAGGGCAGGAGTTGGCCTAATGTGATGGACACCACACAAAAGCTTAGAGAACTGCATCCTCACACAGAGTGAAATGGTTCACTGACGTCCCTATTAGCTCTCAAAATAAGCTTTATTGAGTCTTAAGTGGTGCCTAAGCCTCTCTGCAAAAAGGTGCTTTTCAACCATGTCCATATAGCTAAAGCCTTACATGGAGAGCGCCAAAGCAAGCTGTATCAACTACTTCTCAGACCCAATTAATGTATTGCTGTTTTTATTATGATAATTCATTGTTATTTTTGTATTTTATTGTGATATGCTCAAAATCATGCACCAAATCAATCAATCAATTACTTGGGCCTTCCCCAAATTGCTTGCAATCTAGCGATATAGTGAATAAAAGGGCACACAGTGTGGAATGAGGACACAAAGAAAATGGGTATGGTAAATAAATCACAGGATTACTCAGTTTTATTGCACTTCTTGATACTTTTATTAAACTTATTTTTCCTCTCCCCCTGCATGCTGTGTATTAGTGCTTTTGTAACGAAATCTCTTTTACTCAGCCTTCATTCATTGTTTCAGGATTTAGCCTTGTGTGAGTGCCTAATGCATACTTTGCACATAATAAATAAATCAGAGCTAGCCCACGCTCTACTTTATACCTAAAAGCTCCATTACTAACTGTAGGTGGTAGTGTCTTGTTTCAAATATTTGACTTCCAATATTTTGATTGACTAATTATAGCAGGGATTTTTTCCTCTTAGGAAATATTATGGTGTACTTAGATTGTCAGTTTCATTTTCCAGGTTTAGTGAAGCCATAAAGGATTTGGGTGCAAATACCACTGTAGTATTGTGAAGTCTGAAATATAATAGATTAAATAGCTGGAAAATAAGCAACATAAAATAATTCTAGCCAAACCTGAGCCATTCTTGTTTGGTTTGTGAAAGGACACATTTGCTTTTCTTTATACTTTTTGTTATTTGTTTATTTCTTTATGCTTCAGGAAATCAAATATTATGCATCATAGATGTAAAAGTTTAAAGGATAATTTGAGCCTTGTGCATATATTTTCCTTTCAAATAGTGTGTGTTATTTTAAAAATATCTTTAATAAGCATTGCTTTTCTTTTTCTGTGATGGGTTGGATGACATATGTCCCCTTGAGTCTGTTCCGCAATGTGCTGATCATACCACTGAGCCCACCTATCTGCCCTTTGGGGCACCCCATCACCTTGTCCTTCTGGACCAGAAGTTATGGTCCCTCCCAGCAAGAGTACAGAGTTATGATAACAGCCCCCCAGCAGAATAACACAAATGTTGATGATAGCAATGAGAAGGTTCAGCTACAGGGACGTGACAGCACCCAGGAGCACAGCTCTCAAAAGGGACCAAAACCCCAAATTAACTAGTCTTACTCTGTATCAAAATTTTGCATAGAGAAAACTTATACAGTTTCTCTCTTTATGAGTGAAAGAGAGAAATGTGCAGCTGTTGATCCCTTACTCCCCCTGGCCCAGTAATAATTATTTACACTGGGTTTGATAATAAACAAAAGTGTTTTTATTAAGTATAAAAAGGAGGATTTAAGTGAATCTGAGTGAAAACAGACTGATCAAAGCAAGTTGCTAATCTAAAATAAACAAAACATGCCAGCTAAACCTAATACATTAAGGCTACATCTAGACTACCAGCCTCTTTCGAAAAGGAGCATCTAGACTACAAGCAGATTTGTTGAAAAAGCGAGACACTTTTTCAAAAGAGAGTCTACGTGCTCTCTTTCGAAAAAGCACAGTTTGCATTCAATAGCACCTTTTTTGAGTGAGTACTTTTGAAAAAAGGTGTTGTTCCTCATAAAATGAGGTTTACCGCAATCGAAAAAACTGCAGCGTCCTTTTGATTTACCTTCAAAATGATATGGCTGCAGTCTAGACTCAGGTGAAATTTTTATAAAAAAGTCTACTTTTTTCGAAAAAACCCTGTAGTCTAGACACACCCCATGAGATTATTACAGATCATATCTCTCCCCTTAGTCCTTATTTCAGGTAAAATCCAAAAAGCCGCAGCTGTTCTTTTCTTTGGTCTAACAGCTTCTTGTGTATCCTCATAGCATGGGGAGGCAGTTTTCAAAAGCGAGCTGAAGGCGATCATTGATTGCTCCCCATTCCTTAAATAGAATTTCCCCACAGCGGTAATCCTTTGTTTAATTCTCCCCATACCTATGGAAAAATACCAAATTCAAGATAGATTCAAGCACCAGGTGACATTGTTGCATGTCTTTGTAAGATCAACCACATTTTAGAAAAACAAAACCATTTTCAGATCATTGTCTTTAATACCAGGCCATTAAATCTCTTAAGTACCACTAATGTCTTTCATTAGAAGACCAAGATTAATAAACAGGTTTACACTTCATAATTCTAACTTCACATACAAGGATGATACATGTACACAAATAGAATATACATATTCAGGGGATCACAGGCTCTTGAATGATGGGTCACTTGTTCTATTTTGCATAAAGCTTATTTGAGTTTATTCATAGTCAAAATGTATTTCCATAAAAAATAGGGGCAAAGTGTCACAGTGATGACAGCGAGAGAGGGAAAATTTTGGTCCTCATGACTGAGAAGGAATATGCAAATTTTCATCTCCTGAAAAGGAATTGGAAGAAGGACAGAAAATCACTTACAGAAGTAAGAAAAATATATTTTTTAAAAAACGATGCCATCACCACCTATGTAAATTTCTTATATAAATGGAAATATGTAAAAGACAAGGGAAGAAATAGCAACAGTACCTATTTTTTCATCCTGGAGAGTATTTGTACTGTGTGAAGAAGAAAAACTAAGATCATTGACTCATAAAGTCCATCATCTCTTGTCCCCAGGACTAAGCATTTCCAGACAGGGAGCTGGCAAAGGGGTAAAACTAAATATCAAGAGCAAGCAGAGTATATTGTCAGTGTAATTGCCTCATTAGATACCTGGGGTTTAGGCTTCCTCTAGCTATGGTAAAGAGGATGTGGCTTGTGTAAGATGTTGCTATTCCAACTTCAATGACCATACTGCTAATGCATGGGGATGAACAGTCTCTTCAGTGATCATCCTAAGACTACACTGCTCCAAACCTTCTACAGTCTAGCGCTTTGTATTGCACCTACTCATATATTTAGATAGCAAGCATTAAATACACATCCATTATTTTTCAGTTTAACTTTGTTCCTGAAAATAATAGGAAAATCTTCTTGTTTTTATAGAAAATATTTTTGTAACTTTTATAATTATTAAATACTTGTAGTTTGTTCAGGAAGTAGTGAGCAAAGGTATGGCCAATTACAACCAAAGAAATCCAGTCAACATATTGGAAGCTTTAAAAATATCATGTAGATAAGTAGAAAATAACTGGTATTAAGAAAATAGGCCAGAGATGAATTCAGTGCACAGCATGGTCAGAAGTGGCTAACAGAAAATTCACTGTGCAGATCTCTCAGAATCTGCTATAGGATACTCCACTTCCTCCTCTGCCAACAACATTCCTTACCTTGGTACAAGGAAAGGGGAAGGAAGGAAAGCACCACAGTTTTCTGATATTCTGCCCCTGTTCAGCTGGCTCTCAGCAGGCCCCTCCTCCAGACTCCACTCACCACAGAACACAGGCAGGTTGAAAGATCAAGCCCTCTGTATCATACTTGGCATGTATAGGATTCTTTTCACTCACAAATCTCAATGCACTTCACCCACTACTGTAAGTATATTTAAGTTCAGACTGGGTAACTGAAGCAAAGATAAAATGAAATTGTAAATCCAAGGATATTCTGTGGCAAAGCTATGAATATAATCCAAATATATGGAATCCCTGTAATGCCCTCAGCATAGAAGGTCCCAATCCTGCAACTGGTTGCACATGATAGACTCTTATGATTGAAGTCAGTGGAGCTATACATGGGCATAGGCATCACCTCTGTGAAGTAGGTATCAGGATTTGGAACTTTAAATCACATCTGCTTGTATGGGCTGGCTGTACATTTTGGAAATATTTTATAGAATTTAATATAATTTTTTACTGATATGGATATGGTGTTTTGGGAAATGCCATGTAATTTAGAAACATTTCCTTTTGGGCTTTCTAATCTTCATGTGTATTTATGTAAGTGAATATCCACTTTTAAAAGAAAAGTGTTGCAAAGCACAATTGTTAAAGGAACCATAATATGTTATATTCAATTTCTTCTACTGCATGTCAGGACCAAAAGTGTAGTACACTTAAGTACTCAGTGACATTACTAGGCACAAACAGAAACAGCTGTGTTAGAAGATAAAGAACAAAGCCATCTCACTAATTTTCCTAACTTCAGGAAACAAGGAAGTAATTACAGTCACAAAATTATTTATTGGCTTTTTCAATGAATGCAACAAGGCAATAATAAATAATGAAAGGACAGTATGAGATGGATTTTTATCTTCAATTCATAATGAACATTTAGATGCATATTTAAAAATCTGGGACTCTCTGGTCTGGCAACATCCGAGGTCCAGCAGGGTCACGGATGTTGCTGCACCAGAGAGCCCTGGTGCCTGGGAATGCCAGCCAGTTAGGGAGTCCAGTGGACCAGTGAGCTCCATCCCTGGAAAGCCCCGGCCAAGCAGGGCAGCAGTGAGACCAGTGATCCCCATCTCCATGGAGCCCTGTCCCAACGCAGCAGCAGCAGGGCAACTACGGAGCACTATCCTAGGGGAGTCCTTGCAGGGTGCGGCAGTAGAGGGGCTGCCAGCAGCCAGTGAGTCCCCTCCCTGGGAAGCCCCATTCCAGTGGGTCAGCCATGGAGCCTAGTCCCCAGGAAACCCCAGGCAGGACAGAAGCAGAGCCCTGCCCCAGGAAGTCTCGACATGGTGGGGCAGAAGTGGGACTGCGATGGCTAGGAAGCTCCATTCCCAGAGAATCCCAGCCATCTGGCAGCAGCGTGCCGTGCCTAAGCTCTGGAGCCCAGTGGCAGTGGGAATGGAGTGGAGACAGCAAGAGGGAGGGGCAGTATCCTGGGTGGCTGGTGGCAGGGGACCTCCCCTGATGTGGCAAATTCCCTGAGGGTACCAGACCAGGGAGTGATTTGTGGAATGTATCTGAGGTTAAGAGTCTGTCCAAATCTGCAAATTATTTAGAGATTCAAAAATATGCATAGTAAGTCTAAGACCAAATTCTTTTTTTGTTTTTGTTTGATCTCTATTTACACTGGTTCTACTCCATTGATTTCAATGGAATGAGTGCACATTTGTATGTACCTATTAGCACAGAATGTGGTTATTTTACATTTTGATTTTCAGTTTAGTCTTGTAAAATCCATACTTTATTTTCCTGAGTATCCTTCTGGAGCACAACAGTGTTCCTAAGCATACTTCAAGCCAAAACAAATAATATAATTTACCATGCTCAGACTAAAAAGGCAGATAAAAGATTTAATGGCCCAATAGTCTGATCCAGTGTGACAAATCCTATGTTCCATTGAATAGTCACAACTTCAGTTCATTTCCCATTTACCAGGCTTTGAAAGCTTCTTTAAGAGACCAAATATTTCTTAAATAGGCAGTCAGTGCTATTATCCCATTCCAGGCAAAAATGTCTATGATTCAAAATGTCTTTGATTTTGAAGCTGCAGATTACAAATGAAACTCCTCCCTCTTGAAGGGGAGTAATACTGAATGTGCAGAAGAGGTAATTCAGCATGGCTTCTTATCTGATCAAAGCCCAGGAACACCTGGGACATTCTCCCCCCAGACCTCTGCAACCCACAGTACTGTGGAATCGTAGGCTGTGTCTAGACTACAGCTCTCTGTCAACAGAGAGGTGTAGATTAGGCACGTCAAAATTGCTAATGCAGCAGTGATTTAAATATCCCGTGCTTCATTAGCCTAAACACGGCCACCACTTTTTTCAAAACGGAGCTTTTTCCAAAAAAAATGACAGTCTAGACACAGATCTGTCGAAAATAAACCCTTTTTTGACAGATCCTGTAAACCTCATTTTTTGAGGAATATAGAATCTCTCGACAAAAGGTTTATTTTCAACAGAGTCACATCTAGACTGCTGTTTTTTCAAAAAAGCTCCGTTTTGAAAAAAACCGGTGGCCATGTTTATGCTAATGAAGCATGGGATATTTAAAACCCTGCTTCATTAGCAATTTCAACTAGCCTAATTTACATCTCTCCGTCAACAGAGAGGTGTAGTCTAAACGTAACCATAGAAATGTAGGGCTCAAAGGACCTTGTAATGAGGCGGGTCTAACTAAACCTAGACTGTACCTGACAGGTGTTTGTCTGACCCAATCTCATAAACTTCCAGTATCAAGGCTTTCACAATTTCCCTTGGGCATGTCTATGCTACAGAGCTATTTCGAAACAACAAGGCGAGCATCCACACAGCAAGCGTATTATTTCAAAATTATTTTGAAATAACTGGCTTCTTATTTTGAAATAATAAACCCTAGTTTCACAAGGAATAATGCCCATTTTGAAATTGCTATTTCGAAATAGGCTGTGTGTGGAGGGTGCAGCTGTGCTTATTTCAAAATAATTGGCCTCTAGTGCTTAACACAGCTTTCCTGGTGGCCACTTTATTCATACCCCTAAAAACTCTATAGTTTCCCTTCCCCAGTAGGCTTCAAAGCTTCAGCCACAGGGGAAACTGCTTGCGGTACAACATAGGTCCTGCTCACACAGTGCCACAAAGCACCACCCTTGTGTGCAGCAATGACAGACCCCCATGTTCCCACCAAGCCCCCAGGACTTCTAGCGAGCTGGCAGCCAGCTCCCAAGCCCCTGACCAAGGGCAGAAGAAGATAGCCCCTTCCTGGCCTGGTGCGGAGAGCCTCAATCTCATTGAAGTCTGGAGAGCGGAGCTCTCCTTCTCGTATCCAGGTACACGATACTCCATACCTCCCGCACGTGGTGCCTGTGCTGGTAGCTTTTTAAAGAGCCTGCCAGCCTGGTCCAGTAGGACCACATGCACAACAGGCCACGCCTCCCTCAAGACTTAGTATGACTTGCTTTTTAACCTTTCCTTAGAGTTCAGGTTTTCTAAATTGTTTATCATTTTTGTTGCTTTCCTCTGGACTTTCTTTTCAGTTTGTACACATCTTTCCTAAAGCAAGGTATCCAGAATTGGTCCCTAAAAGAGCTCAAGCCACATGGTTGTCTTCCCTTGGTATGGGAGCATAAATGCATTGGCTTTGCTCCCAATCTGAATGTTTTTGTATCCTCTGATCAAGATTTCTATTTGTACCATGCTATCCTTTTGTTTGAATGGAAATTAGGAGCTAAATCCAGGGCTTTAGGGCTACAATCCCAAAAATCTCCCTCCTGAAATTCAGTTTTATCTCTAGGCAAATTAATAAATGAATTTGTGTGAAGAGCCTATTTACTGTCTGTATTGGAAAACTGTGAATATAAATACTCTGGTGCCAAATTATGAACATGTTTGTTTATAGAATAAAATACACCAGTGTCACTGCCTTCACTCAAAGAAATGGGTCAATTAAGTCGATTATAACTTTGCTGTTTTAATTTTTTATTAAGTGCTTGCTTCAAATCTATGAATTTCAGTCTTTGCAAAAAAGAGTCTGCCCTTGAATTTTTATGTTCTTTTATTATTTTTCTGAGTC